GCCCACTTCTCTCTCTCTCTCTCTCTCTCTCTCTCTCTCACTCCATTCTCCCTTCAAATATGATCTCTCTGTCTTTCTAATGTTATCATTTATCTCTCTCAGTTATTTTTTTTTATTGTATCCTTTCTCTTTCTATATCTACCTCATCTCTAATGTAGTCATTTATCTCTCTAAGTTATTTGATAACAGGAAGTGTCTTCCTGGAAGTTTAGAACTTCTTAATACTGTTCAGGTTTCGTGTTTGATAAAAAAATTGAACTTCAAACAAAACTTCAAAGAACTATTCAAGTTCCAATCTTGCTTTAAAAAAAACGTTCCAACCCAAGAGTTGGAACTTAAACTTGGAATTTTTTTTTTATGAACCCCGCCATATAATAAAAGAAATATAAAATACACTATATTATATATTATACTATGTTATATATATTATATTTATGTAATATAAGATATATATATATAATACGGTATATCATATATAATAGTATGTTATAAATATTAGATATAAACTACGAACTTAACTTCCAAAGGAGGTTGTCAAACACAGAAACCATGAACTTTTTAGTCAACTTCTTATTTACCATTCTTAAAGAACTTTTAACTTACAGTTCATAAACTTGCTTTTAGTTATCAAACATGTCCTAACCGTGTCTTTTCTCTCTCCTAAAATCCTTACTCTCCCAATCTCATCTATTTTTTTATGTGAATCCTAGAAGCATGATCATTGTGAAGGTTTGTTAGATCAATGTGAAGCCTATCTCTATATTGGAGAACTTCCAAACACATCGTCAAACAGCAACTTCGGAATTTGCATATATCCATTTTAAGGGAATTAGAACTTCCAGTGATTGTATGGAGACTTTAGTTGGGAGAAAATTGGGAGAAGGAAAAGGATGAGGTTGGAGTCCTAGTGAGAGGAAGGTAAAAGAAAGTGGTTTAGATAGTGAATTAAAAATTAATAAAAAAGAAGAAAGAAACAGAGATGTAACAGCGGCATCCCGTGTCCACTTTCCCTGCTCAGGGATAAAATCAGCACCATTAAAAGTGCAGTAGGGCGGAGCTTACAAAATATTTTTCCATCTATTCTTTGTCCTTGTGACAACTATCTAGGGTTTGTTTGGATGCATTCGTTATCATTAATAATTCACTATTTTAATCAAGTTAATTATGATAATAAACTATTTGTTGTTTGGCAATGCCCATCATAAAGTTATCTTAGATGAAATTAAAGTCAATTTCATAGAAATTAATATTCTTGAAATCCAATTTTGAGAGTAATTTGCTAAAAATTAAATGTTTTGCCAGAAGTAGCAAACAATAACTAGAAATTGCTCAATACCAGACATCTAACAATACGGCATAGCCAAACTCCAGAGTATATTAATCATAGATAAGATAGTCCATTCTAGAAAAAATTAAGAGATGGCAGGTAGAGAGAGAGAGGGGGCAGGTAGAGAGATAGAGGCTAAGTAGATGTTCGGTATTTTGAATATTGAACAACAAAGAATAAAAAATAGCCTCGTGTTCCATGTTCACATTATCGGACAACAGAGCAATTTAGAAAAAAAAAAACAACCCGTAGGATGGGAGATGGTACTCGTAATATTGAACATATTGGACACTAAATGGTAATAAACTGCTCCCAATAAAAATCAATCTCACTTAATAAATAGTATCTAGGGTTTATACGAATGCATCCAAACAAACCCTAAATACTTGTCACAATCAATCTCACTCATTAAATATCAAATTATCAAAATAAACCTTAAGATACTTGTCAAAATAATTCACTATTCACTATTTTATACATAGAAATCACAATCAATCTCACTCATTAAATATCACATTGAATAGCTTGAATGAATCATGAAGTCCAAAAATTTTCTTCTTAAAACTTTATGCATATTTAATGACACTCTTATAACTACCCATTTTGAAATTTAAAAAATAAAAATGATTGTAACCTCCATATACAAAAATAAACAAATCCTTGTATATTTATAAAAAACTGAAACTCCAAAATTTGTTGCATAAAATCCATTTTTGCATAATCATTTGTGGAACGCCATAAAATCAATTTTTTCCATTATCATAAGGAGCTGATAGTAGATAAAAACCGAAACTTGTGTGGCGATAAGGGCAGATGTAGCCAAGTGGATCAAGGCAATGGATTGTGAATCCACCACGCGTGGGTTCAATCCCACGAAGTCTGCCATTGATGTGGGAATGATTGACTAAAAAGGTTTTCCAACAATGCAACCGCATTACACAGCGAGATTCAACGTTGGGCTTTACTTGACTGCACATCTACAATATACTTTCCTGAGAAGAAAATAATGTATTTTAAGACCTCTCAAAGAGAGGCTCAAATGAATAATTTATTTACATTTCAAAGTGGAGCACCACATCAATAGAACCTCTTTTCAGCCTTCGCCCAACTTCTCTTTCTCAGTGAGTATGATTATCATCAAAAAGCACGAGTCCTTTGAAACACTGTCAAAATTGATTGTCTCCCAATTCCAAAAACTACTGGACATAGAATGAGAAAAGCGAAAACTGAGATACTCCAAGCCTCTGAGAAGGGCAGTTACAGATAAATTGCCAATGTAAGGGCCTTCAAACGCCAAGCCTTTAAATAAATGAGTGGTGAAAGTGATTGAATTTTCTTCCACTTCTCTAAGATGTTGGATCACACATTCAACTAACCGTATTTTTTTTTTGCTTTTCTTTCCCTTGTCCTTTGGGGAAACAAAAAATATACGCAAAGGGAGACACTAGCCTTTTGTTTGTTAGGATTTATCCAAATGACCTCTCTTGTGCAGAGAAAACTTGACAACCTCATAAAAGGAGACTACGATTCCAACAGATGGTCCAGCACGCCCCACACGGGGGCCCGCACCCATAAAGAGTCCCTTCATCCCCCCATCCCTGCAAAAAACAACAGAAAACAGTTCACTATGGCGTTATTTTGGACAAATGTTTTAGTTTAATAGGTGAAAACCGCAACTTGAGGCTTTTGCTTTTGCATCACTCTCTGTAGATTTCAGGTTCAAATCCTTAAACTGACTTAAGGAATGCTAAAGTTGGAGCCAAGGCAAACCCATCAATTTATGGCTCAGCTAAATTTTGAGCATCTAATTAAATGGGTGAAAAAGGCTTTCTTTAGCTATTTCTGGAGAAAAGGATAATGATTGCCATGTCTTTCTGCAACATCAAAGGAGGTTCTCATTTCCACAAATTTTAAAAGGGTATCCTTTTTGTGACAAGAATGTAGTTCAATCATGTTCAGTCAAGGCAATTCGTTCAAAGCCAATCAAAATATTCTGCTACATTGAGAATATTTCTTCGCGTAGGTACCACATAAGACTGGGAATAAAAAACAGGAGGTGCGAACAAAGTATGTCACTAGTGGGTAGTTGTGCATCGTAAGAGAAATGAAACAATTTAATTGGAATAATGCATGATTGGGACACACACATGAAGAGAACATGGTGTATGCAAACGAAGAAAAACTGGAGAAAACTGGAGCTTGAAACAAAAGAAATGAAATCAATAGAAACCTTCATATAAAAAATAAAGAAACAACATCCTTGTACATGGGAGAGAGAGAATATACCTCCAAACCTCAATTAAAGTTTGTCTTGTCGTCATTCTTAATGCTTTGGCTGGATCTTTCTGAAAAACCCAAGATAACACAAAGTTAGTGAATGTAGTAGATATACACTAAACATGTTTTCCATTTCTGACAAGGAAGATCAATCAAGTTATGTGTTAATATTTTAATTTTGATAACTATTTATTTTCAATAATCAAAATAAAAGCTCTTGTCAACAGATAGTTAATATAGCAAGGAAATGGAGGCAAGAAACAAATGCGAACTTGAACACCCATGTTCAAATTTCCAAATTCTCATGTGTTGTCAAAAGTGAATAATTCCACCAACAAAAAAGGAGCACTACCAACCAGCCATCTGACCAAGCAGCAATTCAACCTGCTACAGAGTTTTCGGTTTTCAATGTCCATGTTAACAAATAAAATGAGGGGACAAACAAATGAGATGACAAGCCTTGTGGCTCAACTTAGTAAGAAGTGGGCTGAGGAGGACAAGAATTCACACATGCCTCTCAAAGTACCCCATGCTGCATGCTCTTCATGTTCAAAGAGTAAAATACCAAGTTGACTCATGACTAAGCAATTAGCAACTCTTTCATTTGTCCTTCACTTCCTTTGAAAAGTAGAAGTTCAAAAATAAAATTATGTACCAAATATTTTTAATTGATAAATTATATACTAAATGTTAACATGATTAAATTAAATGAGTACATGATCAAATGAATAGTGCATGCCACATTAATATTTGGGTTTCGCTCTGTTTCCCACAACTCCCCAACTGTCAATAAATTACAGATGCAAGTTTTGCAATGTCATTTCTCTCCTTTAGGAAACCCTTTTTTTTATCAGTAACTGTTCAAAACCCAAATGCTAGCATAGAATGCGAGCCCATGCATATTTGTAAATTTTACAACATATGTCATGCTCCTGCAAAAATATACTGTCCATTTACTCCCTCGAGTAAAACCAATCTACAAGTAGTTATAGGGACCCCAATTTTGGGAATGCATTCTCTTTAACCCATAGACCAACCTCTTTTTTTAAAAAAAAAAAATCGAAATTACACTCTCTAGGCACTTCAAAAAAAAATTGTCCCAAGATTGAACAGAGACCGTCCAATTTCTTCAGGTTGAGAACTAATTGTCGGAAAACTTTTAACATTCAAATTTTCTCATCTAGTGATTCTTAGGTTGTTTGCAAAATTTCAGACTGAAAAAAAATCTGCCTTGGTAGTTCATCAGCCCAAGGAAGTAGGTGTAAAAGTATCCTCCCACAGCAGTATAATATACATGCTCTGATAATTTATAGTAGTTTTGGGTACCATGTGTAAAAATTAGTAAAAGTAATAATAGGTTTATATGACAATATTAGTAGATATTATGGTAACTAGGAACTAGGCACGTGCAATGCGCAACGACATCCTACCCTCATGATTAAAACAAGTACAAGTGATTTTATTTAAATAATAAAAAAAAATAGAACACTCAAATTTTCAGAATGAAAGCTACTCTCGCTTTTAGTTAGGGGCATCTGTGCTCTCCTATTAGGCCTAGGAAATTAAATGAGGTGTCTATATGTTCCTGCATAGATTTATAATATAGATAATTAATTTAACGATAAAAAAGTCATTTTGGAAGGAAAACCTACAATTCATATATAATTATCTCCCTCTGCTAAGCAAAAATAGTAGAAAAGGATAGAGAAGCCCAAGTTTTTCAGATGATAAATTTACTCATTGATCTCAAGAAGTTTCCACAGCCACATCCTCCTTTCCCCTGCTCTCCCACCTGAACGTCTCTCTCTCTCTCAAATCACTCTCTAATATTATAAGTTCCATTTAATTTCATTACACAACGTCCCTAGGATCCCTACCTGAAAATGAAATTGGCTATGTGGCGAGAAATAAGCATCCAGCGTTTTAAACACTCTCTAAATAGGTTTCTGGTACTACCATAAAGTCCCTTTCAATAGGGTTCTCTCCTAGTCGAGTTACACAAGTCTTACACCTAATTGTGGTTTAATATATGTAGCATGGATATAATAAACTTGCAATAATCCAAAAATAAACTTGCCATGCATCCACACGATAAAATTGGCATAACTATGATTACAATCTACAAAGCTATGACGATAAACATAGTCTATGAGTCATATCATATTTCTCAGATGCAGTTTCTGAAAGAACCAAAACTTCGAAAAGCTCTGATCTACAAAATGGTATCATTCTCTACACATCAGAGTAGAGATGCAAAGAGATAGCAATTTGAATCTGATGCAGTCCCTAGGTTCCTAAGACCCCATTTTTAAGTTCCATGGACACCAAAATTTAAGGGGAAAAAGGCATCACATCCAAAAAGTTTCCTGAATAGGGACAAGTTGATTTCTTCAAGAAAGTTGAAAAGTACAGAAAGTCAAACTTGACTAGCCTGACATTTCCAAGTAAAAAATTTTGCACCCAGGTAGACCAAATTGACTCAGCAAGTAGGCTTCACTTGCCCCAATTTTTAAAGTACTGCCACATGATCTCCAGAAAGGATCTTTTTGTGAAATCTACAAAAAGGAATCCTGTAGTCCCACCTGATTAACAAACATGCCAGTGTTTATGATATTTATAGAAAGGCTCAAAAAATCTAAGGGCACCCAGTTATCCGTCATTTGGCAGGACATTTAAATGAAATCCTTTTCATGATAGCAAGTAACAAACAAACTCATGTCCCAGTGAGGGCCTAGGAGCAGGCAGATGGGAAGTATGAAATAGTTCTTGAGGCTGTGGTGAATGTTTTTGGGCCATTGCACCGGTGGGTTGCATGCACTACAATTCAATGATATTCAATTACTATTCTAGGGTGAGCCCAGAAGATCTCTCAGTCAGTCACAGAGGGTTCCAATCTCATGCTCCTCATTTCCCAGTACAGAAAACAAGAAAATTGCTAGTTTACTATCCACCCCAAAAAGGGGAACAAAATTTAGCTCCAAACAACAACAACAAAAAAGGTACACATGGTATTATGGCTTCAGAGAAGTTAAGAAACAATGAACCAAGAACAATGATCAAGCAATAACTATCCAACAAAAACAGAATTCATTGAATATTAAGTAGCATATCTGAAAACATTACAACTCTAGATTTAATCTTTTATATAGATCTTAAATGGTCATATTCTTCAAGGAGACTAACCTCTTTATTTTCATCAATTCAAGGCAATAGACAAATGATTGCAACAAGTACCAGCAAGAGAAAGAGAATCATCTTGAGTAATTAATATCTAGAGAAAGGTAAGAGATCCTAGCATGCAGAAGCTTCATTGTGAGCGCAGACCTCTATCTGTCTTCTAGTTTTTGCAACATCCAGTGGGCAGGTAGCTGCAGCAGCAAGGCTTCCAGCAACAAAACCAGCTGAGAAGTTTGCCCCTAGAATACTCGCCGCATTAGCCTCTTCACCAACCAGACCTAATAACCTTCTCCTAATCTGCACACATGAAACAGCAGCGAGGATTGAGCAAGGACAACATAGCAAAATTTGTTGGATATAAATGAAAATGAAAAACAAAAGACATTGCACAATTAATTCTAGAGGAATGAGCCTTCCGATAATTGAATCAGAATGAAGAAATGGATTTTGTGGCTTCTGTATCTTTATTGGTACGGAAATTATGATTAAGAAAGCTTTATATTTCAGAGGACAGTAAAACTGCTAAAATGGTTTTCAAATACGAGTCTTTACAATATGATTCTACTCTATCATAATGATCTATTTTCTGTGTTTTAACCAACACTTTACAGTTCAGATAACTAAACTCAATATAAGACAGAGAAAACACAAAATTGAAGTATAGTAATTTTCTGCGTTTGGAGCAACATTCTGTAGTTCAGGTGCTAAACTACGTTATTGCTTTTTTTCTGTTTTGAATGTTAACATGTTTCCATCAGCAAAAGTTGTGCGTACAAGCACAGGAGATGAACAAAATGGAGCCCATACAGCAACACCTCTACATCAAATTCGAATAGTAAGATTAAGCCCCAAAAAATTTTAACGATTGAAAAGGTTTGATGTACCCTCTTTATTAGGGAGTCCACAAGAGTATTTCAAAATCGTATTTTGGAAAACACATGATGCACAGAGGTACAAGAGGCAGCTCATATTCAAAGCTGGACCATTTAGATACCTTAAACAAAATTTTGAAAATTTAAAGCATTCCAAGAAAGTTCATCCAGATAAATTCCATTTTTCTCAGCCACATGGCTTCACCTTAGAGCCCTTACAACCCCTAGTAACTTCCCCAATGACATGAGGATGTATACCCTATGCAAAGAGTGTAATTGCTTCCTACAAACGAATAAATCCAACCCACAAATTAAACCCAATTATATACATACAACATTTAAAGTCAAACATGCCAAAGCTAGATATTTTATAATACTCACATTGTGCAAAGGTTAGTTACAAAGAAACTCGATAAACCAAAGGAAAATTGTTTCATGCGGGCTGGACCGCATTTCTACATATGCAGTCCAGAAAGTGTAAAGCATCCATCTTAAAGATGGATGCAAGTAGGTGTTCCATCTAAAAACAATGGAAACTAACTTCCAAATGTTCTCTTACTAGAATTTTTACTTCTAGTTTTTAAAATTTATTTATTTTTTCATATTCATGATCTCCATGTTAGAGATTAGTTTTAAAATCCATCTCAAAAATAGATTTATTACGAGGCCCACATTTCTACATATGCGGGCTTGGTCGCATTTATTAAGAGGCCCGCATTTCTACATATGCAGGCTTGGTCGCATAGAAACCGGGTCCAAAACCAAATCCTCCACAAATAAAAATGAACCAGAGATATTTACGATTTAAAGAAACAATGACAGGCATAAACCACATATAAATGAGGATGCAGTAGTAGGCATGGAACTTTCATACACAAATGAGTGTTGTGTGCAATGCTTGCATTTATGCATATGAACAGCAGCATATTCATGCACATGCAATAAAACTCATATCAGAGTCACAAGATTCAATCAAACACAATATATCGCAACCAGACAAGGCCCCCACACACACCCCATTGAAAGGTGGATATTGTGATGTAGCCAAGTACATAACCGGAAAAAAAAAATTTCTCTCTTATTCATACCAGCTAGAGCACTTACAAGTGTCCAAAAAATACAGCATTATTTTACAGAAATAAACCCTAATACAATGTAGGATCTTCACTTGCATGCCATTACTTCAAACAAAATACAATACATGAGATTTAATCAAGAAATATGGAACCACTAGAATATAAAATTACCTTGCCAAGGGCTACCCCCAAGGACTTGATACACCTTGACTCTGGGTCTCCTCTACCAATGGCGCAGGAGATCGAGGTCCTCAACCTTGTCTCACAATGTGGGAAGCCTAGGCAAAACTTAACAGCATGAGAGCATCTACTAGCATAAGGGATAGGGCATCTCTCTTACTCTGAGGTTTCATCTAGCATGGGCATGCCACCTTTTCTTACTTGGTTGGGGCGTGGAACCCCCACTAACCCAATTAGAGAGAGAGGCTAGATGAGAGAGAAGAGAAGAGAGAGAGAGAGAGAGAGAGAGAGAGAGAGAGAGAAGATAAAGCGGCGTACCACTCTTTAGAAGGAGGGAGGGGCGAAGAGAGAGAGAGAGAGAGCCCTTAGAGAGATGTATTTTTGTCTCTACACAACATTTATAATAAGAGGCTAGAGTTTTGGGGTCTAGGATTTGCAATCTTAGTGAGACTTAATCTTGATCGTCGGTCTTATAGACTTGTGGGGTGAAGAGATCTTAGCCACCCATTCCCTAGATCAGCCATCATGATTAAAGAGAAGGTACTAGAACCATTATCCCTCAATTTCCTTAACCCATTCTCATCAAATATCTAATATGTAGAAAATAAGATATTTGTGTCATAAAATCTAAATATGAAACCACTTACTAATTTTTTAAACAATCAAGCTTCTCTCTTCTTTCAATCAAAACTCCTAAAAAATACCTCCTCTTTCTAGAAGGCTGGTCAGACAAGTCAAGGAAAGAGAAGAGAGAAAGAGGTGGGGCGTGCCATCCATGTGTGGCCCTTGTGGGGCCCACATCCCCATCATGGTGGGTTCCACATAGTGGGCCCCCATCCCAAATGGGCCTCACACTCTCCCATGAATTTTAAAATTCATAAAAGCATTTTTAAAGTCCAATAAATATTTTTAAAACTGCTTTGGATTCATAAAATCCCAAAAATCAATCTTTAGCCCTGTGAAAATTCTTTTCGATAAAATAAAATATACATAGCATTTTCAAAATTCATTTTAATGTTCACAATTCAAATAATATATATATATATATATTTTGATGGGAAATAGATCCATATGGTCTAGGACTACACAAATTTATTGACGCACTCCATCTATCCTAGAAACCGTGCACTACTGTCATCTTCTCAAACTAACCCAACAGAACTCCTGACCCAAAACCCATTACAGGAGTTTATGATTGGTCCATTAAAGTCATCTAAAAAGTGAAAGTACAAAATCCTATTCCATGGATTTCAGGTTCTTCCCTGGGACATGTCCAGGTCCCTGTTCGCAAACTATCTCATAGGACCTTCCAACACAATCGAATGCTATAGGGAGATATCTCTTTTGCACATGTACACGACATGCTGCAATGGGCTGCTTCCAGGACAACTATCAAGTGTACATACCTTGCAATCGCAATGATGGAGATTTTGGCCATTGTCCTTTCCAACAACTCACTGCACATAGGGGTCAAACAATCCCCTAGCCAACCACCCTAGGCATCTCTCCAACCTCATCAAAAGATAACCCTACAAACCCTTATCGATTATGCCATATACCTAGGGGCCAAAGGTTTTGACATCAACCTGAGCCTAACCCGTCGAAATCCGGGTGAGTCACATAATAAAAAATGCCTCCTTTGGTCCCTTCGGACCGTAATCCTTTGATTCCTTTGGACCCCAGTCACACTTAAATCATCACATCTTTATAGTCATAGTTTTACATGATCTCAAAAGGCCTCTAAATGGCCATATAATCCAAACAACCATCTACTTATGTAATTGCCATTGTCAACCATTGCAAATAGTGGATTAATTTCTACTACAAAAAGTCGCCAAAGAATTAAACGTTCACGCCTATTTGGAAGTAAAAGGCATCATAGAATCCTACATGGGCTGTCTTCCAGGCAATATTGAAAAGAAGAGGCTATGTAGAATTCAAAGGAACAAAATCAATTATTTTCTTTTCTTTTATCAAAGTACCTGAATTCCATTTACAATTGCCACTGAACACTGCTGTAAACACGAAATAAGACACTACTTACAACCTAAGATATTTCCTTTTGCTACCATAAAGAATAGACACAATCTAGTATAAAAAAAAGTTATTCTCATAAATTTAGTACAAACAATGTATCTAGAAATTTAAATAGAGAAGCAAATAATCACTGAAAATAAAACCAAACAAGGGTCACTACTTTGGACTTAGAACACCCCACACCCGATTTCCTAACCAATGGCACACTCTAAACCTATTGGCCCTGCTGAATATTCTGAGTCAAAAGCTTCCTTAGACAATACCTCACAAATCTAGGGTTTTTGCGAGCATAACACGATTACGGTTTCTAGACCCCTTTTTTAACCTTCAAGGCATGTCACTGTGTAGCACCTCCCCGTAACCTAGACTAGGGATGGGTATGACCCCTGTGTGTCACCCCTAGATATCTATGGGGAATTGGTGTGCTAGCTAGAGAGAGGACAGAGAAGAGAGCAAAGAGAGAAGTGAAAAAGTGAGGTATCGAGGAGAGAGAGGCCAGGAATTATTGGTGAAAAATGAGGGAGAGTCCCCTGCTTGTATAGGACTCAAGGGCCCGAGGAATGCTTATCCATAATTGTGACTCATCATGACCAATAGGATTTTAAGAAATCCATGAGGTGAGAGAAGATTAAATATAAGCAATGCATCCAATGAATCAACCATCACGAATCTTATCCCTTGAATCTTTGACCCATACCCACTTCTAGTCAAACTAAGATAAAACCAATCTAGACCTAATCTTCTAAAACCCCCATATCTCTCACAAATTGTAGGAATTCAAAAGATAAAAGGTTTGGTAAACATATAAAAGATATTGTCAAAAACTAATTCCCACAAATAAGGACATTATCTTTTTCAAAAGACTTCTTAACCAACCATAAATCACCTTTTATATTTTAAAAACAAAATAAAATAAGAGAGGGAGGGAGTGTGCCACCTCCATGTGTAAGGTGTGGGCCCCATGGGCTTCACACCCCACCCATGTGGTGTGGCACACCTGTAGGGCTAGATCCAAGGGCCCTACACGTACATCCACAAGCCCCTCTACATATCCAAAATATCGAAAATGCACTTTTCTTTATTGCTGAAAATTATTTTTAAAATTCTAAAAATTTTCTAAAATTCACAAAAATATTTATTACACTTAAGACAAAATATCTAAGAAAAGACTAATACCAATGGGTCAAGAAAAGTGACTGTCAGACTCCACCTGACCCAGTAACTACAATCCTTGACTATCTTCTCAAACCAACCCAAAGTGACCGAAGACCCATAGTCTCATGCAGAGGCTCATGATTGCCTCGTCAAAGCTAGCTAAAACATAGTGAAACCACAATCACAGAATGTTGATTACAGGTTCCCCTTTACGAGCAAGAGACACGCACAACATATCACCAAAGTAAAAAAAGGACTATCTTCATGCACATTTACATATATCCCTTCTTAGACTTGCTTAGTGGTAACGTGGTTGTCATATATACAAGCCATGCGGAAGTTTATTGAGTATTTACCGTCGCTCTCAGAGGCCTACTTCCGCATTCAAGAGACTACGAAGCTCTCTTCACCTACAAACCATCCCTATGCATCTCTCCGACCTCAAAAAGGGATTACCCTCTGAAAACCTTCTTCAATACTGCCATATCCCCAGCTGTAAGGGTTTTAAATATGATCTGGGCCATGGACCGCCCAATCCTAGGTCAATTAACTAATGCACACCCTTCCACTGAAGTGCATTATCCTCTATGATTCTTGTTTACATCCTCTCAAGGTCTTTAAGACCACAAAATCTAAGAAGGGTGAAGACTTTAAACTTTCCCTTAACCCGTCGCAAGCCCAGATAAAAGAGGTGGGTTGTGTAATGTAGGCAGCTAATGCAAAACTTTGCCAAAACTTTCCTTACAAATTTTGGGTCGGAGGATCAAATAAGTCAATAGCACACACAAGCACACACAAGCACAAAGACGAAAATTTCCACGAGAATCACACATCCAGATAACTATTACACAACAACTACCCACCTAGTGTATGTGGTCAAAGTAATCTGGCACATACTTTGTTTTCCTTTAACATAATTTGGAGGCATAAGCAAATTAGAGTAAATGACATTTAAGGATAAGTAAGGAAGAATCATTAGAGTACAAGCAAATAATAGAATCACCCAGAGAATTGAATATGGTGACTCACAGGCTCCAATGTTGACCAACAGATTGCCGAGAAGGGTACATCTCGTGCGAGTTGTGCTCCTACACCAGTCCATAACACACGATACCCTTGTACTGTATTAGGAGGAGGAAAATGATAAAATTAATCCAAAAAGTCCTAACTTAAACACCAAGTTTCCCACAAAAAAATTTGATAAAATTAATCCTCAAACAGTAAATTGAGGATGAATCTTCCAATAAACTAAAATGAAACAACAATTTGTTGCATTAATATGCATGAGCAATTTTCATACATACGGTTTTGAATGTTTGCAGAGCTCCCAACAGATGACAAAACTCCAAGCAGAGTTTTCCACAACCCCGGAGGTTTTGTTCCAGTATGGATCTCTTTAAATGCCTGTTATTCATGATACGGAACAAAAACAACCACTAATATATAGTTACCAAGAACTGCATACCTGATCAGTCGTCAACTGAGACTGCAAACTATGCATGAATTCAAATAATTACATTCTTCACCATTACAACGTGCATATACAAAAACATATTCCAATCAATGCAGCAGCAGCAACAACAACAATAAAGATAGGATGCTGTAAAAAGGTTGTCAGTTCATCAATCTGTCAACAGCAGAATTCAGCAAAAATTAAAGAAAGCTAAAACAGTAAGATGGAACCTTAAGTGGCTAAAATACAAGATATAGCACGTGACATGAAAATTACTTCCCCTGGATACAGTTTAATTTATATCAAAGAGGGCTGGGTTGGTAAATATATTTATTAAAAAAAAACAATAACTTCATAATATAATTAATTCCACATTAAATTTTGGATTAAAAAAATACAACAATATTGAGAAGGCTTAAATATCATAAAATCTAAGTACTAACTAACAAAGAGAGAATAAAATTGCAAGGATTTATTCCTTCAGTAATGGTGCATGTCTCATGGATAATGAGAAATGTTCATGCAAAATAAACAAGCACACAGTTTCTCCCAGTATTTTATTCACTCTCATCTAATGTGAACAGTGGTTGCTTTCAAGAATATGGAAAATTACTACACCTTCAGTATGCATTTTGTCCAATACCATGGCAGAGGCCCAAGACTGAAAGAGTCATAAGTCATCAAGTGGTCCATATAATAATTGGTTAAGAAGAAAAAGAGAACACAATCATCAAAGTTTACCCAAAGCAAATTGGTTAGCTTTTTGATAGGCAAAAGAAAGAAAGATAACTTTACGCAATATTATACAAACAAGATTAGAAACCGGATTCACTACAATTATTCAATCTTACCTTCATCATTAAGGATAGCTGAATAATCCCGTTACCAAATTTACTAATTGTAAACTTAATGCAGACAGTTTAATCAAACTCAAAAGAGACGCTTGAAGCCAAAAAGATGGTTTGTTGTACTACAGGACTACACAAACGCCCATCCACATTATTCTCTTTAGTCCACATCAGTAATACCCTATATGCAATTATACCAATGACCTTAAGAACTAATCAACTCACCACCACACATTACTAGAAGGAAAAAAAAGTACAAAACCATCCCAATAATCAGAAGCAGTATCAATCCACGTGGTATACATAAGCCTTGTCCAGGTTGAACTCCGGGAATGCCCAGATGCCCTTTCCTGTCTGGAATCAATGCCTCCACAGGCCTACTAAAGAGTCACCCACGACCTGTCTCCCCTTAACAAAGGCCCATCAGGTGGTAGAGATAATGAGAACAAGGACCAATCTGAAGCAAGTACTAAACAATGAATACTCCAGAAATTCAACAAAATTTCAAACAGCCTCCCCACTAGGTTAATTAACCTAAAGTCCTTAATGTTAGCCAATTGACCAACCTGAAAGAAAACAATAAACATGGTATAAAGGCCTCTATTCAATCTTCTCATGAACGCAGTTATGATATCCTTCACAATATTCCACCGCATCAAGCGTCAGATACTTAGCATTCCTTATGAAAAGTCACCCTCTTCACTAAAGTCTCCTCAAGATTACTCCTTGACAGCCGCCATAGTTTGCATCCAATTGAAATACAACATTTCTGACAACTTCCAACAAGAGACTGCATGCATGCCGAACAAGACAAAGAAGTGCAAAATAGCCTTAGCATACCCACCCCCACACCTACCCCTACACGGAATTTATGAAACTGCAGAATAGCCTTAGCATACCCACCCCCCCACAGCCACCTCTAAACTGCATTTATGAAATTGACAAAACATTCTTCGTATCTACTTGTCCCCTGTTATGGTTACAATCCTGTGAATGCAGTTATGCTTGGGTCCTTCCTTTGGCCATTTAAGTCTCAAGTTTTATCTCCCTAAACCCCCTGAAATCACTATCTTGTGGTATTCCACTTTAATGTCTAATCCACGTTATGGCCCCACAAGGACCTGATCAGACATCGATCCGCTTTTGCTTTCTCCTACATTCATGAGTTCCAATATAGCCATCTTATTGCCTTGTTACAAATTCCATATTTGTATGCTTTTCACCAAGTTCCCCAACACTCCAAGGATGTAATTTGATTATGCCAGATAAGGATGGGAATCCATTCTTCTCTCCTTTATATCATCAAAAGTTTACTCTTTAACTTGCTGTAGACTTCTCATAATTACTAGAGATGGCATGACAGTTGAACTTTCTGATCTTTCATTCTTTAATCTTCCCACCTTTCATCACTCCTTACCCCCTTGTTATGTTCTATGTGTTTCAGTTGTCTGATTATGCTGCTCTCTCCTAAAATTTATCAAATGACCTTAGGTGATCCTTCATTTTTTTTTATTTTTTCTTTTAGAATGGTTGTCTTGTCTTATTCCAACTTTGTCCCTCAACCCATAAAGATCTATCACCAGATTCATTGCTTGCATATTTGTTTGCTGTCCGACCATCTATTAAAATAAATTTCACGAATCAAATGTCATATGAAACCCAACAAAATCATATGAAAACTAATCATAACTTTTGAACCCATTGGAGTATGCTGCTCTATGTGTCTATGCTACGTTTAAGTCCACTTGCGTCAACATCTCCAAGAAAGTATGTTCTGGTTACATGATCAAGCCTCACTTGCATACCAAAAGATCTCTATTCCTCCACCCATATCATTCAGCTAGACAATGCCATTAAAGAATCCCACTTCTGTATTCCAACTTAGCCCAACCTAAATGTTTCATATTTTCATTCTATCATTCATAATGTGCAATAAAATTTGCAATTACAACAGTTTTCACCATCCCTAATTACCAAATAGGCAAACGCGTTAGCTCAAATCCACAAGGCAATGAGCCTAGCACTGATATATCATGATAGCTTTCATTAATAATTTCTGACATTTACTGATAAAGAAAGAATATTGTTGTGATATTTGATGTGGCTCAAGGGACAGCTTTCTAGTATGAGCCTCTGAGCAAAGATGCCCTGCCACAGAGAACGAGAAATAGGTAGAGTTGATCGGGGAGGCAGATGCCACACCATGATGTCTGGTATTCCAATATTGCTAGATCTCAAGTTAACAATCAAAAAAAAAAAAAAGAGGAAGAAGAAAGAGCTATTGTCATAGAAAACCATGAAATTGTCCAGTCTATCATCACATATTCAAAATTAAGATTATGGCAACCACGAGAATGTTACAGCAATAAGAAAAACAGTTACATGCATAAAGCACATTGGGCATTTGCACATATTCCAAATCCCAAGAAATGCATGTTGTTCAAATGAGACAAGATATTGTGAGAATAATCGATACCTGCATTCGGGTCCTTGCAAGTTCAATAGGAGAACAAGCAATGCAAGCTAGTGAACGTGCAATTGAACCCGCGACTAATGGGGCATATGGGGTTAGTTTAGGAGCATTCCTGTCTGTGAATTCCTCAATCCAGTCACGGAATATGTCATAACAAGGCAAGTATATTCCAACCTGTTTCACAGTTCACAGAGGCAATTTTCAATAAACTCAATAATTGGTAAAAAGCAAAACTCGAATCAAATAAAAGTCTTGCCTATACTCAACTAAAATTTGCCTAACAAACTCAAGCACAGAGAGAGAGATTTAGTCATTCTAGTTTGACTTTTTATATGGAGAAGTTGATTGTAACTTTTATGATACTAGTGTGATGATATATATCACAGAAGAAAAAGATAACAATGCGCTTTCAATCTATTATTAGCATCAATATAAAAATTATGTCCAGAAAAGCAAAGGAACGTACATCACTTTTAGTATCAATTATCAACATACCATTGTTGTACATGAATCAGACACCCAGAGAATCCAGATCACATCTACATCTATGGGGCCAATTCTTGTGGTTAACCATTACATCTTTTACAAACTCTTGCATTTTACCATGCTCGTGATTAATTAATTGGTCTTTCTCATATGAATATGAATCTGTTTTTTTGGAACTTGTTTTTATTTTCTTTGTTGGGTTAGGTTCAGGTATCTGTGATCCCTCTCCCTCCCACCCAACAACCCCCCACACCACCCCCCCCCCCCTCCAAAAAAAAAAGAGAAGTTCCTTTCTCTCTAACTTTGGAAATGTTGAACACCTTCACAAGGCAGATGCCATCACAAACCAACACCAAACCTGTTACTCAATATAGCCATTATAAGGCAGTGCAAACATCAGCAGAATATATCCTAACAAGGCCTACGCACCTGCTTGAGGCTACTATATGCCTTTGTAGGCATGCTCTGAACAAGAAAACCACCTCTGAACCCACATGATTCTTCACCAACCATGTGCCCTATTCCAACATGCACCCTTGCTAACCATGCAGCCTCATTGAGCATGTACCTTTACTGATCACTATCTCATGCATGTCATGGACTGCACACTAATTTTCATGCAAAACATATGACATGGCATTTGTTACCGGTATGTATTCAACAGGTGCCATACTTGTCTTAGGGCATAGTGCATGGTAAAAGTAAATATGCACATTTTATGGGAAAGGCCAGTAATTTTCATATGTAAAAGATGTAACACTGCGCAGAAAATAACTTACAGTGGGAACAGCTAGGGCTAAACCAGCATTTGTCCCCCGCCAGAGTCTTGCTATACCCTCCTGCAGAAGAACGCTCATTAAATCGTACAGGGATGATATAAGCATGGAACTGCAAACAACAAAAAGAGAAACAAGGATGACTTTATCTTCAGATGAAGAATGTGCTCACCTGTCTTATAATTTTGTTAAAGACATCCATGGTCCCCCTGTACTGAAAACATTCAGGTGGACACAATAGTTCAGCGCCAAGAATTCCCCCACGAGGACAGGAGGGTGAGCATCGCATTTCTGGAAAAAGCTGAACAAAATATCCATAGTGCATCAAATTACAATTAGTAGATGACTCGTAAAACAATATCTAGTAATTAAATAACTCAAGGGAAGAACTTAAATAAAATTGTGAGGTACTCATATTGATGGCAAAGGAGCAAGGCAATCCACAAATATCAAGACTGAACTGAATAATGTTAGTTTGTTGTGGTTGAGTGCAATAGTATCTTAAGAAAAAGGAAAAAAAAAAAAGACCACATGAGGAAATCACCAACAAAAAAAATTCAAAGTTTAGTCTTCTACTCAGATCATTTCAAAGGAGCACATGAACAATGCACCCATTATGTATGAGGTCTTTTTTGGTCAATCTTTTTTTTTGATAGGTAACTAAAATGATTTCCAAATTTGGATATTTCTAAATACGTGTCAGTCATCCTCTTGCAGGGTGTAGGAAAACAAGATCGTTGGAAACTGAGGGGAAGGAAAAAATCACAATTAAATGAAATGAAGGATAATGAAGTGATCTCCCAACTCTAAGGCATGTCAAGTAGCACTATCTTTGAGGTAGTATTCTGCTCCCACTCAATGTCAACTGAGTAGCAATAGGGTTGACGGCAGAAATATCCTCATGATATGGCCAAACTTGGCATACACCTCTTCTAAATCTAGCTTACTAAACTAGATATGGCCCTCAACACACACAAATTGAATTGGCCAAAACTCGTTTAGACAATAAATCTGTAGAGAAGAAATAAGTAGACTCTACCGAGTTGAAAGGAATAGGATCACATAAGAATCGAAGCACCCATTTTTCAAATATCATGAACAAAACTGGGAAGAGAAGAAGAGGATCTGCAGAAATGATTTTGAATGAGAGAGCTTGATAGAGAACAGAAAGAGATGAGGACGGTTATATCTTACAAATAGGCTGGTCCGTTTCTATAGAACTTGATGGGGTTGGGGGGCAAATTAATATGCAGAGTAAATGGAAAAAATGACTACATAAAGGTGTTTTTCCATTTAATGAGAAACAAGAATGGGGGCTAGAGAGAATATGGTTAGTGGATAGTTTCTCATAATTTGATGTGATATGATTTAAATAACTTGTCAACACCCATTCACTACTTTGAAACACATGCTTCTCCACTCTTTAAATTAAGGCATTTTGAAACCCATTAGGTCGAATTCAGAAATCATGGCCACAAGCTTCTCTTCTTCAATCACAATTACTTGGCAGTTTCGATGCTTACAAAGCCTAGTTGTCAACCCAATGACCAGGAATACGACAATGAAAAGTATTGTTTTCTCCCTTCAGGTTAATTTCTTTCGTGGATTCTTCTTATGCTTGCATTGCTTATTTATATCATTCATAAATCAATTATGACAAGTAATAAATTAATTATACATAACCCCTAGTTTGGGGGTTATATAATTCAGCATTCTTTCAAGGATAATTTCTTATGCTTGCACTTCTCTTCTTCGATCGCATTTACTTGGCACTTTTGATTCTTACAAAGCCGTTCTTTCCATCATTCTTTGGTGGATTATTCTAATGATTGTCCGAATTGGGCTTGCTGAGTTTTAAAGCACTGCTCATGCATATCACAGAATACTTATAAATAAGTGTCGCTCTAAAATAATCTTCGTTTAAAAATGGTTCAGTACACATATTTATAGAACACATATAAATACTTATTTTGGGTAAAAGTACACGTGTGTACATGCAAAGATGAAACCCAAGTAATTTCAATCATGTCACATCAAATTTACGGGCTGTTATCCACTAACCTACTTTCACTCTAGCCTCTAACTCTATCTCTAACTACATGGCTAGTCAGCGTTATGTAGCCATTTAGCTCATTGACTCCATGCACATTGATTTCAACCACAACAAGCTCTATTATAGAGGGCTAGCCTATTTGAAAGAAACAACAACCCTCACCTCTTTATCAGATTTTCTCTCAAGCTCTCTCTCCCTCAAATTCATTCACTCATATCATCTTCTTGTCTTCCCATTTTTGTTCATTATACTTGAAAATTAGGTGCTTTGGTTCTTATAAGAGCCTATTCCTTGCAACTAGTTAGAATCCAGTTATTTTCTCTCTCTAGCTCTTTGTCTAATTGAGTTTTGGGCAAAACAGTTATGTGAATTAAGGATCCTATCCAAACTAACAAGCTAGATTTGGAAAAGGTGTATGCCAGGTTTGACTGTATCCTAGGGATAGAACTGTAGTCAACCTTATTGATGGTCAATTGGCAAAGAATATGGCCTCAAAGACTCTGCTATAGGACACGACTTCAAGCTTGAAGGTCACCTCATTAAGTCCTTAATTTCTTTTGATTTCAATTATCACCTTCCCCTCAATATTCACCAAATTTATTTTCCAAACAGGGTCCACACTAATCTTCTCTAGATTGTTCCAACAATATTTACTTAATAGAATATCCTGAGAAACCACAAGTTCTTTCCCATTCAATTCTATAATAGGTATATTCTCAATGATTCAGAATCCAGTGCCTTCTCATGCTAGCGTCCATTCAAATAAAACTCTCGTAGAACTAGTGGCATTGCCCAACTCTGGCCAAAAGTGTTGCAGCTAATACATGTAGACCCATTAATGTCATTATTCTTTTTGGACCAATTTAATACCAAGGTTGTAACACTTGCTTCTAAATGATTAGAAAGCAGTGATCAGATCTTTATTGAATGTTAGTTGTCAAAAAGATCAATCGCTAATCTATCACATTTCTTCCAACTTTATAAAATTCTTCTTCCAAATGGCACGAGTTCATCTTCAAGCATAGGACAAGAAAATTAAGAGGATTTTTTGGCATTCAAACAGTATAAAAAATTACAACCAAACGTTACTCCTCACGACAATGTGCCCCAGAAACCAACGCTTAAACAAACAACACTACAGTTCAAATGCTAGGAAATGTCATCTCCAAGTAACAAAACCAAAGGTCAGCGACAGCCTACCGAGGCTGGACCAGCAAATGCTATCCGCCCTCCGACGTGATGATGTCGTGATGTCGGCGGTGACCTGTAGGAAACACCTGCCGCCTGGGCTTGCAGCCTTGTCTGCACAACACAAAGTAACTAAATGTCAGAAGAATCATAAAAAGTAGATTAAACTCGAGCAGTTCCAAAGACCAAAAGCCCAAAAAAAAAAAATCCCAAATAAACATATGTGCATAACAGAACAAATAATCATAAGAAGAACTAAGAGACAGTGAAAGTCAGACTTTTTACAAAACCAACCCAGGAAAACAAGAAAATGGATAAAAATCATCCGAATAAACCAAAACCCAGAACAAAAAAGCACACACAAGAAGCCTGCCATTTCAGAACAATAGACGGAAAACATAATGCTCCATTAATGAGAAAAATAGAGGGCACCAAAATAGAAAAATGACCTTGGCGACATCGAGAGGATTGACAAGTATGGCCGAGAGCACAGCAGCTCCCGCAGCAGAGAAGGAACGCTCTCCAAAACCCATATTGGCTTTAGAAGAAGGGTCTCTTGATTGAGGTCGAGGTGAATCAGAAGAGGAAGAGTCGTCGCTTGCTGAGGTTGAGGCCGCATCAAATTCGATCACGGAACGAGGATCGCTGGACCACGCCATCTCCCTGCCTCCTCAAAGGAAAAAAAACAGAAAGCCTAGAGAGACAATCCAAAACCTAACCGAGAAAACCTAGAGAGAGAATCCAAAACCCTAACAGGAAAGAAGAGAGGGAGGGAGATTTCAGAGTTCCCGAAAGAGATGGTCCAAAACGCACTCCCTCTCGGGAGGGCAAGAGATAAAAAAATGTTCGAGAATAAATGGGACATAAATAGATTCCAGTGCATGCGACACGTCTTTCCGACACGCCACGATGCACGTGTCGTAAACGGTTGGAGGCAGCCTGTTGTGTCTGTATATTGACCCTCCTTGCCAGTAGGAGCAGTGCGTGGACGGTGTGCACTCTTGCTCATGATACCATGTTAGAGTTGTGTATGGTACTGTGATGTCTTTCTTAACCCTCCTCGCTTGTAGGAGCACACGGCGCGTGCACTCTGCAACCTTGCTCATGATCCTATGTGCTATGCACGAGTCGTGTATGGTACAGTGATGCCTTTCTTGACCCTCCTCGCTTGTAGTGCACCGTTCAATCTTGCTCATCATCCCATTTGCTGTACACGATTTGTGTAGATGTCTTTCTTGACGCTCCTTGCTTGTAGGAGCAATGTGCACCATGCAATCCTGCTCATGATCCCATGTGCTATACACGAGTTGTGTATGGTACAGTGATGTCTTTCTGGACCCTCCTCGCTTATAGGAACACATGGCGCGTGTATGGTACAGTGATTTAAAAAGCACAGAAATGCCCAGTCTGATTTGTAACTTGGTCGACCCGTGTCGATTCTGTCAATATATACAAAATCGTTTGGATCTAGAAGGGAACAGATAATTTGCTATAGTAAAACGACATTTTGCTATAATAAAAACATTGATTCATTGATCTGGACCGGTTTTTTGCCCGTTCGTTTTTTTTTCAAGTACTTTTTCACGGGTTCATTATTTTTTTCTGCACAATAAAACTACAATCCAGACCGCCAATTCACCAATTTGAACTTTTTTTTGTGATGCCTGATCCAGGTCAATGATCCGTTTTTTAAATATGGTATAGTATCATATTAAGGGTTTCTAGAGTAGGGTAATTCATGTCTTAGAAATTGAGGTTGGGCTTGAGTGCTTAGCGACTATTGATTAACAACTCTACATCTCAAGTTCTATTCTTCCCAAACTACGACTACGACAAAGAACATAAAGTTCGATTTCTAGAGCTAAACTACCAAAGAAAAACAATAATAATCTGTCTTATAATTGCTATTTGCTCGTGTATGCATTAGTTGACTCCTACAAAAGGGCAAGGTTTTGAGGAGATAGCTGGCTCATTTATTTAGATGCCTTCCTCTTGAAAAATCTACTGTAGACATGAATTTAAGATAGATCTTGTGTCTAGATTTTATATTAGATATGAGTTTAAGATGGCTTTTGTATCTAGACCTTGAGGGGTCAAGAATTTGAACTATTATGAACAGATATCTCAAAATCGTTAAATTTTAAAAGTTAAATGATATATTCTTAGTGTTTCTCTCACACATTTCACTTTAGTAGTCGGCAGAACTAGGGTTTTTTAAAATTCAAAATGGACATTTGATGTGTTGGAAAAAACAAGTAATAAATAGTATCACCTTGACGATCAACTGTATCCCTTGACATATCAAATAATTCCCCCTCATAAAAAGGTAGAAATGTAGCTTTGGTTTTGGTTTTGGTTTTGGTGTTGGCGGAGCGACCGGTCTAATGCATATGCTTCTAAAAGCTCACTTCAAGGATGAATTTTGGATTCAAGATTTCACAAGTTGATAATTGATTATCGATTACTTGAACCTCAACAAAACAAACCTATTGACCTCTTGATTCATTGGGAAAATCAATCCCACTCTTGGTAGGGTTCCTTCTTATAGAAATTTACCTTTGGGTTTATTTTTAAGTTAGATTTGATAGACTTTTGTATTAGTCATGGATGACTTAATCAGACACCAACAAGATGAGGTACTGAGGTGTATGTTATTTGCAGACGACGTAGTTTTGATCGATGAGATCTGAAACATCATCAACACAAAGTAAAAACTTTGGAGGGATGCTCTAGAATCTAAAGGTTTTTAATTTAGCCAGAGTAAGACAAAGTAAATGAAATGCCAGTTTAGTAAGAATAAGAGTAGATACGAGGAAATAGTTAAGATAGACAATCAATAAATACTAAAAAAACACACTTTTAATATTTTGGGTCAATAATCCAGAAAAATAGAGAGATTGACGAAGACGTTAATAAAAATAAAATCCAAAATAGGAAGATACATATTCTAAGATAGGAAAGAGATATTGCTTTTACTTTTTGACAAAGAATGTAACAAAATAGGAAATTATATATTATATGTAACAAAATAGGAAATTGTATATTATATGTAACAAAATAGGAAATTGTATATTGTACTATTGTATTACTATTATATATACAATGAAAGAACCACTACAAGAGTTGTATAGGGCATAATTATTTTCTCAAAAGGTTCATCTCTTTCTAAAATTCTTTATGGTATCAGAGCAAATATCGATCCAATCTCGGTTTTTCATGTTATAAGTTATTCCTCAATCCAAAGTAAGTCTCTCACTCTCTTTTATTACATGTTTTCATCTCTCGGAAATTTTGTGCCAAAAAAAAAAAAATATGTCTCTAGAGTTCATCCTGGATATTTCATCTTGCATCTTTGCCTCACCAAGCCCATCACTTTGCATCATCTTTCTTTGCATAGTTTGTACATCATAGTTCTTTGCCTCCATCGTTTTTCACCTTTAGTTCCTCATCACCTTACTTTTTCCATTATTATTTTGTCTTACCATAAAAACAAAACACGCATAGCACCCAAGCAAGCATCTCACGTCCAACCCGTAGTTCTAATTTAATCTTTAACTTACACTCTATCTTACACACCGAATAGCTCTAAAACTTGTGCTTACCTTTCTTAGTCGATCCATCTACCTTTAAAATACCTCTTTACTCTAATGAACATTTCATCATCACCAAACAAATGTCCCTATCCCTTCACCCCGCATATAGGAAATTTTGAGTCTATTAAATTGACACAGAATAACTATTTATTATGGGAAATTCAAATGCTCTCTTTCATTGAGAGTCAAACTTTTTGGATTCATTAATGGTGATTGTCCTACACCAAGTCAAAATCTTTCATCTCTTGATGGTAAGAGTGAAATTGAAAATTCAGATTACATAGTATGGCTAAAGTCTGACTGGCTTGTATCACATGGACATTACCAGAAGAATGTCTTAGCCTTGTTGTTGGCCTCAAAACTTCTACATAAGTTTGAAAATATCTGAAGAATGTCTATGCAGGTAATTCTCAAGCTAAGGAGTTCCAACTTACGCAACAACTCCAACTCTACAAGAAAGGGAATTCAACCCTATCAGAATAAATATCCAAATTCATGAGTATTTGTGATGATTTGGCAGCTATTATAAAACCGGGTACCAGATGAAAATATGATTTTTTGGCTTCTTAATAGACTTGGTCCAAAATATGAGAGGTTTGCTACCACTATGTTTAAGCTTCTGATTCCTTCCTATTCTGAAACTATACCACTACTTAGATTAGAAATCAACCTCATATCTCTACAGAACACTCGTATTCAAATCAGAATATGGTCCTTGCTGGAGAACAGAGAAATTTTAGACCTAACATAAGCACTAGAAATTACAGAGGTAGATGCATACATAACTTTGGTGGTCAACAATTTTTTTAATTCTTGGGGACGTGGATTTGCTTAAACATGCCAAAACAATAATGGGAGACGTGATGGGCCTCAGAGAAACCAAAAAAGTGGTGATACATCTATGTACCACATGAATCAAATGTTTTAACAACATTCACAGATACAGCAATCAGCTCAGACAACCTAGGAAAAGTGTCAAATTTATGAAAAATTTGGACATACTGCATTAAATTGTTGGCGTTGATTCAAGCATATGTACCAAGAAAAAGACATTTATCAAGCTCTTACTGCAATGGCTATAGCAAATTGACTAGAGCAAATTCTCAAGACACGAAATGGTTTCTAAACACTGGTGCCTCAACTCATATGACAGAAGACCCAAGTAAATTGCAAAACCTTCATCCTTATAATAGTAGAGATACATTCATGGTTGGCAATGGTGAACAATTGAATATTTCACATGTTGATGATACAATTGATTATTTCACATGTTGATGATGCAAATATTGATGCTGGGTTCTGAAAATTTCAATGTTTCTAATGTTCTTTTGGTGCCTAAGATGAAAAGGACCTTCATCATTATAATAGTAGAGATACTGTCATGGTTGGCAATAGTGAACAATTGACTGTTTCACATGTTGATGATACAATTGACTATTTTACATGTTGATGATACAATTGACTATTTTACATGTTGATGATGCAAATATTGATGTTGGGTCTGAAAATTTTAATATTTCTAATGTTCTTTTGGTGCCAAAGATGAAAAAGAATTTACTATCTGTTAGCCAGTTTACAAAAGATTTTTTTAGTATTTTTAAATTCTCATCAAATGGTTTTCAGTGGTGATTTAAAAGTCGCCGAGTCGACATGGAATCGGCCGATTCTTGACTGGTTTTAGAGCAGAACCGGCGGCGGCGATTCTGTATAGATAATCGCCCAATGACGTCATCACTCGCCCGATTTGTCCCGGTTATGTGACATCATGAATCGCGTACAGGGCATTTTCATAATTTTTGGGGTTAAAATTGACAATTACAGTTAAACACCATGCGTCCCTTGTCATGAGTCCCACACTTCTCCTTGCGTTTCGCACGTGAAAGGCGTTGATAGTAGAGTAGTATTTATTCTTGCCAGTTTTCTACTGTGGGTTCGATGTGGGATAATTGTGATGAAAGGTAATAGTTGAAAATGAAATATAATATAATCTTTAAGTTGGCCTAGTAATATCAAAAATCCACTTGCGATGAGGTGGTTAGCACGCCACTTTTTCCTTTAGACGTCGCGGGATTAACTCTAGGGCAGGTTCCCACATCCTTCCCTCCTCACAAACAAATAAAAGTTTTTTCTTACAAAATAATTTGTTTTTTACAAAAAAATAAAAGTTCTTTGTAAAAAAAAAATATGGTTCTTATAAAAAAAAAAGAAAAAAAAAGTGATACAACAAAATTTCTTTTTGTTGTCAAAAAAA